CTGGCTAAATGCCCTTCTTCCTGACAATTAAAACATCGCCGGGTTTCTTCCCATGGCCGGGGCCTTGAGTCAGACTTCCCCCGAAGGTTTTTTTTTAACTGTATAGGTTCCCGATAATCACTATACTTTATTGGCCGGTACTTTATTTCGGTTTCCAGACTCTTGGGGCTTCTTCTCTCCTCCCTCCGAAAGTCCCCTTTTCTCTCCCTAATCAGGGCCTCTGTGGCATGGTGTCTGTCCACCCAGTCCACGGCTTGATCTAGGGTCTGGGGATCCCCTTCACTTACTTTTCTTTTCAGGTGCACAGGCAGACTTCTCACGAAATGATCCAACACCACCCTTTCTACCACCTGTCCTGGGTTTAATTCTTCTGGCTGGAGCCATTACTTTGCCAGATGTACCAGGTCAAACATCTGAGACCTCGTAGGCTTGTTCATCTGGTAGTTCCAATTGTGGAACCGGACTGCTCGTATCACCATGGTTACCCCTAGTCTTGCCAATATTTCGTTTTTCAGTCTCATAATTCTCTGCATCTTCTTCTTTTAAATCATAATATGCCTTTTGGGCTTCTCCAATTAAATAAGGGGCTACTCTCCAAGCCCATTGCTCTTTGGGCCATGCATTTTGAGCTGCAGTTCTTTCAAAGGTGGTTAAATACGCTTCCACATCATCAAGCTCAGTCATCTTTTCTAGCGTAATTTGTTCTTCCTGAGCGGTACCTCTCCCCGCTACCGGGGCCTGCTGGATTTCTTCCCTTAACCTGCACAACTCTGCGCGTATTAATTTTTGCTCCTCTATAATTTGTTCGTTGGTTTCTTTTTGGATTTGGTTCGCCTCCAGTTGCGCTTCGTTAGCTTCTCGTTGTCCTTTTAATGCCTGGAATTGGGCGAGGGTGGCCTGGGACAACTGCTGTATTAATTCTTCCATAGCGTTTCTTCACACGCGCAGAGCGGAAAAACTTGCTCTCTTCGATTCTCAAACCCGAGCGGGAGCTGCCCGCATCCTCCACCAATTGTGGTGTCTCCGGGGGATAGTTTATGTAAACGAAGGT